TAGCCTGGGTCAGCAGGATCAGGTGATTGAGTGTTCTGCCCCTTATGTTAGGGACCCCTCTTCAACTCTTCATTGAGTAAGAACCCTCTGGTTCTTAGTTTCTGTCCTTTATTAGTTATTTTTTCATGTCTGTTTGCATATGGAATTATAGGGGAGTAGGCAAAAAAGGGTTTGCTACTCTTATTAAAGATTTAAAATTCAGATTTAGAATTGATATTATGGTTCTTTTGGAGACCAGAAGAAATGGGTTGAAGGGAAATAGTACTATTAAATAGCTTGGTTTTTCTAATTATTTTAAGCAGGATTCTATGGGGTACTCTGGAGGAATTTGGATCCTTTGGGAAGCCAATGTGGTTAAGTTGGAAATTATTTCAAATCATCACCAATTTATTCACACTCAGGTTGTTCACCTGCTGTCTTTGAAGTCTGAGCTTATCACATTTGTCTATGGTAGTCCTAGGAAGGTTGAGAGAAAGTCTCAGTGGTCTGAATTGGAACTCATCAGCCAGTCCATTTAGGATCATTGGGTTCTGATGGGAGACTTTAACTCCATACTTCTTGCTTCTGAGAAGATAGATGGTGGGGAGGTGTGCTGGGGAAGTGTGGCTGAGATGCAACAAAGCTTGGTAAATTGTAAAGTCAGTGACATGGGTTACAAGGGGCCTGAGTTCACCTGGAAGAGAGGCAAACTCCATGAGAGACTTGACAGGGCATGCTCTAATGAGGCCTGGAACATCTCTTGGCCTGATAGGTTTGTTTCTCACCTGCCCTTTTTTAACTCGTATCATAGACCTTTGCTTTTAGCTCAAAGTGGTCCATCTCGACCAGCTGATCACTTCAGGTCCTTCAAATTTATGGTTGCCTGGCTTACATACCAAGGCTTTGGTACTGTGGTGGAAAATAGTTGGAAGGATAAGGCTGGCTGGATCCAGTCTAGGAATAAATTTGAAAAAGAAGCTAAAGACTGGCACCAGAATGTCTTCAGAAGAAATGCTCATCAAAAAAACAGAATTTTTGCTAGACTAAGAGGGCTTGACAGCTACATGCATGGGAGGTATGACCATAGTAAGGAACTTCTCCAAAAGGAGCTATGGAAAGAACTCCAAACCATTCTTATTCAGGAAGAGCTTACTTGGTACCAAAGGTCTAGATGCCGATGGTTGAAGTTTGGGGACAAGAACTCAAGATTTTTCCATGCTTCTACAGTGACTAGAAGAAGACATAACTGAATCATTACTCTCAAGGATTTGGATGGAAACTGGGTTGCCAACCCTGAAGAATTGGTTAATTTGGCTGTTGACTATTACCAGCTGCTGTTTAAGGCTGAGGAGGTGGATGATGGATTTTTTCCAATTCAGGGAGCTTTTCCTAAGCTGACTACTAATGAGTTTTCTTCTCTGGCTTTGGTACCAAGTAGGGAGGAGATTAGGAAGACTATTTTAAAATGGGGAAATTTAAAGCTCCTGGGCCAGACAGTTTGCATGCAATCTTTTTCCAAAGCCAATGGGCTATTATGGGTGATTCTGTGTGTAAGCTGGTGCAAGAAGCCTTTACTGACCCTTCTACTGTTCAAGGGATAAATAAAACCTTCATTTGCTTGATCCCCAAAAAGGAAAATCCTGAGAGTATGAAGGATTTTTGTCCGATTAGTCTTTGTAATGTGATCTATAAGATCATTACAAAGATTGTTTCTGAAAGACTGAGAGATTTCCTGCCCAAGTTGGTATCTCCAAACCAAAGTAGCTTTATCAAGGGAAGGCAGGGTGTTGATAATATTATAATTGCTCAAGAGGTCATCCATTCAATGAGAAGAAGAAAAGGGAGGAAGGGCTGGATGATGATTAAGGTGGACTTGGAAAAAGCCTATGATAGGCTGAGTTGGAGTTTTGTGAGGGAAACAATCAAGGATATTGGTCTACCCGAATCCCTATGCAACTTGATTTTCAGTTGTATCTCTTCAACATCTTCCAATCTCTTATGGAATGGGGTGGTAACTAGGGAGATTATACCAGGGAGAGGCATTAGACAAGGGGATCCTATTTCCCCTTATCTATTTGTCTTATGCATGGAAATGTTGGCTCATTTGATCCAATTGGCTGTTGAGAGTAAAGCTTGGAAGCCAGTCCTGCTCAACAGAAATGCCCCTCCTTTATCTCATCTGTTCTTTGCAGATGACATAATTCTGTGTGCTGAAGCAAGCTTGGATCAAGCCCATGTGATCAACCAAGTTCTGAGAATCTTCTCTGATGCTTCTGGGCAAAAAGTCAGTCAAGAGAAAACTAGAATCTGTTTCTCAAAATATGTTGGCTTTGGCAAAGCCAAAGAAATCAGTGAGTGTTTGGGATTTGGAATAACAGCTGATCTGGGGAAATATCTAGGCGTTCCTTTGCACCATAGGAGGGTTTTCAAGGATTCTTCTGGTCATGTGCTTGATAGAATGCAGAAGAGATTGTCAGCTTGGAGCCCCCATTCTTTATCATTGGCTGGGAGGACTATCTTAGCTAAGTCTGTGCTAGAAGCCTTACCTGCTTACACAATGCAGTCAGCTGTCATTCCTATTGGTGTGTGCAAGGAGGTGGAGAAACTTACCAGGAGCTTCCTTTGGGGTTCAAACCATAATCATAAGAAAGCTCATTTGGTTGGTTGGTCCAGAGTGTGTAGGCCCAAGATGGAAGGGGGCTTGGGGCTGAGAGACCAAGCTAAGATTAATAGAGCCTTCTCTATGAAACTAGGATTTGGGATCCTTAGTGATGTTGATAAGCTTTGGGTGCAAGTGTTAAAGGCTAAGTATAAGGTTGGGAATGACATGATCCCTACCATCACTAACTTGCAGATTGCTTCTAATACCTGGAGAGGTATTCAAAAGGAGTGGAAACAGGTCTAGGAAGGTTCTAGAAATTTGCTTGGTAATGGAAGAAGCACTGAGTTCTGGGGGATAACTGGGTCTGTGGTGCTGGCAAGTTGATTGATAAGGCCTTGGTAGCCATTCCAGAGGTTGCCAAGAAGTGGAAGGTTGGTGATTGTACCTTAGCTGAGGGTGGCTGGAATTGGTCCATGTTTGAACAGTTTTTTTATGATGGAACTCTGGCTGCTATAGCTGACATTTCTCCTCCGAGTGAAGAAAGGGGCATTGACAAGGTGATTTGGAGTTTTTCCCATTCTGGACTGTTTACAGTGGGCTCAGCCTATGGCTCTCTTAATCCTCGTCAGGACAACCTTAGTCCTAAAGAGTGGAAACTGGTCTGGAGATGGGAGGGTCCTCAAAAGGCTAAATTTTTCCTATGGCTTTTATACAGCAATAAACTTCTCACCAATGCTGAAAGAGCCAGAAGACATATGTCTGACAGTGCTAGATGTCCTAGATGCCAGGACCCGTTAGAGGACATGGATCATATATTCAGAAAATGCAGGTGGGCTAGGGAGGTATGGAACCACTGGATTGACAGTCAAGGTAAGAATAATTTTTTCAGTTATGATTTTGGTCAATGGCTTAAACTGAACCTTAAAGCTGGAAAGCACAACAACAACTGGCAGTTGAAATTTGGAGTCATATGCTGGCACATGTGGAAGGATAAAAATAATCTAGTGTTCAATGGTATAGGACTTAGTTCCCAGGAATTTTTTATACAAGCCTCAAATAGTATTCTAGAGTTTGTAACTGCTAATGAGGTGTTATTAGTGGCTGGACTAGCTGTGGCACCTGTGAGGGAGGTCTGGGTTAGTTGGAAAATGCCAGCAATCGATTGGATCAAAGTCAATTTCGATGGTTCTTGTAGACAGAATGGTATGGACCTGGCTTGCGGTGGAGTGATCCGTGATGCTCAGGGGAGATGGTTACAGGGTTTCAGCAGGAAGCTTGGGCATGGGACAGTTCTTATGGCTGAGTTATGGGGAGCTTTAATTGGTTTGGAGTGGGCTTGGCACCATAATTACAGGAAAATCATGTTGGAAGGAGATTCTTTAGTGGTTAAACAATTGCTTTTTGAGGGGTGTGTGGCTACTCATCCCTGCTCCACGCTTGTAAATAGAATTAAGGAGCTGTTGGAGCTCCGTTGGCAAGTACATATCTTACATACTTATAGGGAAGGCAACCGGGTTGCTGACTGGATGTCTAAACTCAGAGTTGTTAATGGTTGGGATACACATTGGTTCAACTGCTCCTCGGATGGGTGTAGGGACCTTCTGTTAGAAGATAGTAAGGGCACCTTGTTGCCTAGATCTGTTTCGCTGTAGTTTGTTTTACTTTCCTTTGTTATCCAAAAAAAAAAAAAGGGTTTAACTTTATTCTTTTAAAGGAGATAAGTTAGTCCTTTAAATTTTTAACACTATGTAATACATAGTTATAATATAAAAAGTTATTTTTTTTTTACTTTCCACATTAGCTTATGTGACTGAAGAGAAAGAAAAAAGTAACTTTTCATATTATAACTATGTACTACCTATGATACATAATGTTAAAAATTAAAAAGATATAACTTATATCCTTTAAAAGGACAAATGATTTTCTCATAAAAAAAAGGGTTCATTTTTTATGCAATTACTACAGATAAGTTATCTACAGTAAGCCTAATACGACGTCGCTTTGGGACGGAAATCATTGTGTTTTTGTAATTTTAATTTATTTTAGGGTTATTATAGTCTTTATAATTATAATTATTTAATTTTTCAATCCCAAAATGACATCTTTAAATGCAGATCACTTATATGCAGTAACGGCATAAATATTATTTTGTAAAAAAAAATCATTAATATGTTCATAAAATATTTGATTCTTTAAATTTTGATATTTAATGATAGTGTCTCCTAATTTCTTCATCTTTGGTGATTCACTATGCGTTCTGTATTTCCAATTTCTACCAGCAACATGATTAGCTATTTGTTGCACATACTAACTCGTCTTCTCTTGTCTTTCTTTTGGCACTAACTGGGGGTTGCCTTCTAAAATGATTTTTTTACCCTTAAAAAGTTGTAGAAATGCATGTGAAGGCCACTTGGGAAACCAATAACTGTTTTCAGAATGCTATCCATAGCAAGTGATTTCGTTTCTGATTTGTGCAACAGAGAGAGAGAGGTAGAAGGAAGGTGCGAAAAGTTGAAAAAGTTGCATAAGAAAGGAGATTCTGGTAAGTGATTTATAGTTTTATAAAATTATCGAACTGATCTGTTTCTTTGGTCTAGCATTTCCAGAACATTTTTTTTTCTTCTGTTTTTATATGTTTTATATATAACATAATCAAGTTATGGTGACAGGTAACAATTATTACTTAACAAATTGCATTTCACTACAATAAGACACTACATTCATGGGTTTTTTTTACTTATACTGTCTTTACTTATCCATACTTAATTACTCGTTACCCACAATTTCCAACACTTATTAATTGAATTTTCTTTAATTTAACTGTTTTTTATGAATGTCATAGTGTAGACCATCATGACAAGGAACAACTGGTTTTGATTTTGGTCTCTATTAATTAAGTGATCTGTTTGTTCAACTGCTATAGGGAAAAGGAAAAGTTGAAGTTGGGGTTGCTGCAACAATGGCACATGCTAACACTTCTTTTGCTTTATCTGATGCGGAATTTGAGAGGGTGAAACACATAATCGACATTCGAGACTTAGAAGACTTCAAGTTATCAGAGTGCAGCATTTACAAGGTTCCTTGCAATCTTAGGAAGGTGAATGAGGAAGCCTATACTCCTCAATTGATCTCAATAGGTCCCATTCACCTTGGCAAAGAGGAATTGAAGCCAATGCAAGAGCACAAAAAAAGATATTTCCATTTCTTCTGGGAGCGTGTATCTAATGAACTAGCCATGATGTATCCAATGGACAAGTATAAAGATTATCTTAAAACCCAAGAACAAGAAATAAAGCAATGTTACGCACAAAAATTCCCTAAAATCAGCGACGAGAAATTCTTGGACATGATGTTGTTGGATGCTGTGTTCATCATGGAACTTTTTCTAAGGCACAGTTCATGGAAATCCGATACAATCAAACCTGGGCATGATAATGTGGAAAGGAAATCATCTCGATTCAATCACAGTGGTGATTACATTTTGTCACAGTCATGGCTCAGCAAGGACATTGCAAGGGACTTGATACTTATAGAAAATCAAATTCCAATCTTTGTGCTAAAGGAACTGTATGATACAGTTGTCTCTGATGTTGCCATAAAGAAAGAACATCCTTGCTTTGTTGATCTTGCACTTCAATACTTTGCACTTTATGACACTCAGAGATCCTCTTCTGGATCTGATGAAACCAAGCTTGTTTTGGAGAAGAACCTGTCCAAGAAACACTTCTTCAGTGGTTCAATTTTCGGTTTCAAGAAACCTTTGAATAAATCAATGACCAAAGATAGGTGCAAAAATCCAGAGCATTTCACAGATTTGATAAGATATTTTTGCCTTCCTGCTAATATGAGAAATAGTGGTCGCCCCGATAATGTGCTAAGAACAGCAACAAAGTTACAAGAATCAGGGGTAAGCTTTGAGAAAGATAAGAAAAGAAGGTTACTTGAGATATCATTTGATAAGAAGCCATTTCTGAGTTCATTTCTTTGCTTGGGTTGTTTACAACATTTGAACCATTTCAAAGCACGTTTTGTAATTCCTCAATTGGAGGTTGGTCAAACAACAGAATGTGTTGTGAGGAACCTCATTGCTTTTGAGCAGTGTCACTATCCAGAACAACCTTATATTTGCAACTATGTTTCACTTATTGATTCTCTCATACACACTCAGGTTGATGTTGAATTGCTGGTTGAAAAGGAAGTTATTGTGCATGAATTGGGAAGTGATGAGGAAGTGGCGACTCTTGTTAATGGTCTTTGCAAACATGTTGTGACAAATTCAACATGTTACTATGAGACTATTAATGAGCTTAATAAGCATTACCAGAATGTTTGGAATCGTACCATGGCTGCATTGTGGTTGGTGTATTTCAGAGACACTTGGAGGGCAAGTTCCACTGTGGTTGGGATTGCTGTGCTCATTTTCGCTGTGTTCAATTTTCTACGTGTTGTTCGTTATTTGTTCTAGCTTGCAATATATATTATATGGCAAAATGATTTCTGCAGCTGCTGCACTTACAGCTAGCCAGGATCCGCGTGCTGATCCTAGGATACGGCACTGGATTCTTGTTTTTTTTTTTTTTTAAATGCTGTGGGACTCACTTTTCTGTGTCAGCTGTAGAGAGTGTTATCTACGGCGACTGCAGAAATAATAACCCCTATATATATATATATAGATGTCGGTTGTTTCATGCATGTATGAATGAATGAATAAACAGTGTGTCATCGAATGTAATCTCACTAGTACAAATGCATTTAATCCTGGGTTGTAATCATGCTATTAGTAGCTCCTGAACTTGAAATATGTGTCATATATATATCGTACAAAGATGCCAAAAAGTTTTTTAACTTTTTATTCATGTTAAAACGTTAATTGGTACGTAGCATATACCCTCATTGTCTTTGAGCAGTGTCACTATTCGGACCAACCTTTTATATGCAATTATGTTTCTCTAATTGATTATTTGATTCACACGATTTGCTGGTTGATACAGAAGCCATTGTCCATGAACTTGGAAGCCATACAAAATTGGCATCTCTGGTGAATGGTCTTTGCAAGTATGTTGTTGTAACCAACAATTATTATGGCAAAACCACTAAGGAACTCAATGAACATTATAACAGCTGGTGGAAGCACAATATGGGTATGCTAAGGTCAGTGTATTTTCGTGACCCTTGGAGACTCGGTTCAGCTATTGTGGGATTTCTGTCTTCTTATTTGCGGTTGTAAACTTTCTTGGGGTTTTTGGTTTGTTTCATCCAAAATACTGAAACTAGTGATCTTGTTAGAAATTTACCATATTTCTTATTATCCATCCCCTATTAATGATTTATTTCATTTATGCCATCAATTTCTTTTTTCACCAATAATTAGATTGAACTAAGAGGACAAACATGCCCTAGTAAATTTATTCTTTTATTATTGAAAAATCACAGGTTTGAATATGAGAAAATGATTATTTGTAATTATGCAAAAAAAGTTACGTATAAGTATTTTCCTTACTCTATCTTTCCTAGTCGGGGACTAATGAATAGTAGAGATTGTTTAATCAAATTGAATCTCTAGATTTTATGTAGCAGAATATTGGAGAAACTATTGTCTCTTCATGATAGTTGAACTATGTGAGTGAAAGTATACCAAGGTAGAAGTGGCTCACCACATCCAAACTTTCCAAGAGTCCATTTATCAATACTCAATTGAGATAAGGATACATTTTTAGTCCTTTTATATTATAAAAAATGGAAAATGTTTTTTACAGTTGCTGAAAAAATGAACAGTTTTCCTACCCATCCATTAATATATATGTGCTAATTCTTTTATTTTTTAAGTTGGGGGCTACTTTTCTCTCTCCGTTGATTTTATTTTCTCTCATACGCTGCAAAAGAAAATATAAACAATAAACTATACGTATTTAAATTAGAGGAAAGTTATTTTTATAATTTAAAAGGGTTATAACCTCTTATAATATGTTTTTTCACCGTTGATTTATGTTAATCCAACAATTATAATTTATTAGAAGTTAATAATTAATTAATAAAAATAACTCAATAAATTATAATTATTGAATTAAAAAAATTAACGGTAAAAAACAGATTGTAAGAATAATATTCCTCTTTAAATTATAACACAAATTTATGTATCGTATGAATTTATGTGGATATATTATGTATTACCCATCAACTAAAATTTAACATCATACAAGAGATCAGAAAGTACTTGGAAATATATATCATATCATCTAGAAAAATCAGCAGCTATCATTAATGTATTAGTTCGGAATTCAGACTAAGGTCAAATAGTTAAACCAAAAACGTAAATTCTTAGAAACCACCGCAGCACATGTTTTAGGACATTAGTCCTAATGTTCTATATATTATCCTCGGTTTGAGTAGGCCATGCGCACTGGCACGTTTCGCATGGAGCACGCTTCATACTAAAATATTTTGGAATAGTAACTCTCTTTTTTTATCACTTATAAAGGATAAAATCCCCATGTGGCACAGTGATTTTTATTATTTTCTTGACTTTATATAGTACTCTAGCCTTGTAGGTTTCTGTTTCAAACAGCTGGCGTTTGGTGCACAATAATTGTTATTTTAAATGTTTCTTTACACACATTTAAGGCGGCAGACGAAATTTTTTTTATTTGCGAATCATGATTTTTTTTTTTTTTTTGGAAATATGAATCATGATTTTTAAGATTATGATAAAATAAATAATTTTTTTAAAAATATTACTAAAAAATTATTTGGTAAACTAAAATATTTTTAGGAATGTTGAGTTAATTTTTTTGAAGTTATGTTTAGTTGTATTAAATTTTCTATTGTCATAGAAATTCTAAAATACCACCCTGAATAGTATTCTTGAATGATATTTTTAAAAAAATTTACACACAAAATAAAATCTCAATAAAATCAGATTCTCAAAAAAATTCCAAAAATCTTGTACCGAATGTAGATAAGTAAAATTACCACTTTCAAGTTTTTCGGAAATCCTAAAAAAAAAACCTTTTTACCAAACCGCTCCTGAGGGTATTCTTTGGTTTAATCAACTCAACAAAAATTTTAAGGGATAACTTCATTTTTTTTTTTTTGTTATATAATTTATCACTTGATTTTTTGTAATTTTAAATTTGTCACTTGAATCTATTGTGATTATAAATGATATATTTTTTAACCTCTTATGGTTTTAAAATATCACATATACTGTATAACTTAAATCCTTTATGATGTTATATATAATTTTTTATTTTATTCATAATAAAAATAAATATTTATTTTATTTTATTTGAATTAAATTCATTAGATGGTACTCATTTAAATCTTGTGGTCTTATATTTATTAAATTAAGTCTAGTATTGTTTTATTTTATTTTTTATTATTTTAAATTTTTATAATATTTTTAAAAATGTAAAAAAGTCATTTATTTAACTAATATGTCTTCAATTTATCTTGAATAATATCCTTAATTTTAAATATAAATTTTTAGATAAAAAAATTTAATATGTTTTTTAAAATAATTTCAAAATAAATAACCTTAAATACTTTTAATTTGATCATTAATAATTAATTTTATTCAAAATTTATTTCAATTATATAAAATAAAAATTAGAAAAAAAATAAAAAAATTATATTTATAAGACCATCTGGGTTAAAGTGATATATTTTTGTTACCATGATAGATGTAAGCGAAAGTTTGAAATCACTCTGTGTTAAATGATAAACTTATTTAACCGTAATATATGTGCATGACTGATAAATTTGAAACCACAAGAGATGAAAATGAAGTTTCCCAAAATTTAATATACAACTTATATTCCATCGATAGACACATAATCCCAATGTTGGCATATTTCCTAAAAGGAGAAAAAAAATAATTTTGATATTATGTCTATGTATTTCAAAAAATATATAATTTGAATTTCATTTTAAATGGGAGCCTATCAATTATTCAATATTACGGTAGTACTAAAAACATTCCCCGGGTATAGTTTGGGTGTTTGAACTAATTTAACCAATTTGAAAAATCGAATCAAACTTATTTGGTTTGGGTTTATTTAGTTAGTCAAGTTAATTGGATATACTTGTTTTTTGAGCATGAATAAAAGTCATTAAAAAATCTCAAATGTAAAATCAAGCTTCAATTATTTTTCAACTTTAAATAAGATAAGGTTGCTTGACTGAAACAAGACTAAAAAAATAGAGGAAAAAGATGCGCAATTCCTATGAAGGTTGCATGTGAAGCACATATTTCGAGGAAAAAAATAAACATTATTAATAGAGACATCGATCATGCATGGAAACTAACTTTTTTATTCAGTGACCAAAATTATGTGTGTAAATAGTAGCACTCAAAAGAGGAGCAGAGCGAGATTGGGGACACAGGATAAGAACAAAACATTAGTGGAGCCAAACAATTGTCAAGATCCAACTTGAAAAATTGGGACTTAAGAGCTATTTGGTAATCATAAGAATGGATATGATAAGAAGTTCATATAAAAGTAAAATAGGATAAGGAATTAATAAGTTGATATCTTATTTTGTGTTTAATAGGTATTAGATAAGATAGAGTAATGTTATTTTATTCGGTATTTGAGACAAATCATATAGTGTCATGATATGATTTAAATAGATAAAAATATCATTTTTAACATTATTTTATATGATTATTTTAAATTATTTTTATTGTTTATATTATTTATATATTAGTTCTTATTTTAAATACTAAAAAAAATTAAAAGTCACAATTTTAAATTAAATATATTAAAACACATAAATAACTCACAAATTGTTTTAAAATAAAAAAAATTATATCCTCGCAAAATAAATTTTAGAAAATTAAGTTTTAAATTATTTATCAGTATTGGTGGCTGTTAATTAGTGATTGTGGATGGTGTTGGTGGCCGTTTTGGGGGATAGTGGCAATAAGTGGTGGTGACGGTATCAGCATTGACCAGTGATAATTATTGTGGCTGACTAGTGGCTGCGATGGCGATGGGGAAGTGGTGGTGCTAATGGTTGGCGCCTAGTGGTTAGGGAGGCATGCAGTGGGCCAAGGCGGTGCTTGACTGGTGATGGTGGTGGCAGATGGGGGTTGGTTAGTGGAAGAGGTGGTGGTGGCAATAACACAGACAATAATTGGTGGCAATTGTGTAGGGGTGTTAACGAGCCGAGCTTTGGTCTTAACGGGCCGAGCCTGTGTTCAAATGTGTCAGACTGGCCTTAGCCTGTTACCTGTTACGAATATAATATCAGCCTGTGGCCTGACTCATTTACAAAAAATAAAAACCTTGTTTAACCTGTTAGCCTGTTTAAAAAAAATAATACAACAAAAATTTATCCAAACAAAATATACAATCAACAGGACTTGTAATTCCATAAATATTCATAAATTTAATGTATATCCAAATAGCATAATATAAAACAAAATCATTTAAAAAGTCTGTTTAATTAATAAAATGGGATGAAATGAATTGAGAAGAGAGAGAGGGCTATCACAAGTAGTATAAAAAATAAAAAAATAAATAAATAAATAATATATTAGGCAAGCCTGAGAGGCTCTAAGGCCGAGCTTTTGAATTAGAGCCTGAGGCCTTTTTATTAAACGAGCTTTTATACAAGTCCAAGCCTGGGTCCAACAATCAATTTTAGACATGTAAGCTCAGGCCTTCACGAGCCGAGCCAAAGGCCCCTGGCTCGTTTAGCACAATTGTGGTCGCAGACTGGCCACATTGGCTACAATATCTCAGAAAAATAATAGTAATTTATAATAATAATAATAATAAATTATAAATTATAAATTAGTAATAATATATATATATATATATATATATTATTAGGACTGATGATAAATTGTGATTAATTGAATTATTAATTGATTGATGATTTATGCATTAATGTTTGATGGTAATGTGATTGGATTAGGATGAGTTAACAATTTTTATTTGATTAGATATGACAAGTCAACAA